AATATTGCAATGTTATTAACAATTTAAATTTAAAGTATATCTGTATTCTGAGCCAAGGGAAAAAACATTTATGCATTCCTGCAGAAAAATGAGTAGTCCGTACAGTGTTAAAACTTTTGGCAAGCTCAGGAAGGGAAAAAAATTACTCTATCAAGAGGTACTATGAGAATCATAAACACTTTTTCAGTGTTTAAAAAGACATATATATTCATTTGTGCAGAAGACAACACTGAATACATTTCATTAAATAAAATACGATTTTTTAGAATGCAAAAGTCACTTCTAAAAGTTTAAATTCGATGGACTGTACCCATCAATACCTAATTTAGAAGCTTAATTAAACAACCAACTTTAAATGAATATTTGAAACACTAACTTTTGCCCATCTTTGTTCCATTTTTATCTTTAGACCCCACCAAAGCCCGAAAAATCAAGACAATTGTGCAGGAGGTGGTGAATGGTGAAGTGGTCTCATCCCAAGTTCAGGAAATTGAAGAACTAATGTAAAGTTTCACAAGATCTGCCCCATGATTAGTTCCTTAGGAACAAGAAATTTACAAGTAGAAATTATTCCTTTTAGAGTAAGATGATATATTAGTTTAATCTCCATTTCTGTTTATTTCATTTTCTCTGGATTCTCCATTCACCTTGAGTATTTTTTGCCCTTCTGAAACAAAATTCAATTACAAGTCATTGTGGCCATGTTGGTCTAATAAATCAAAATTGCCTTACATCTTTCTGGACCTGGAGTAGTCTTTTAATAAACTTTCTTCTAGTGATCTGGAATATGTTTTTAATCACAAGACTTTGATCAAGTAGTACTGTTTTAATAAAGCTAATTTTAATGAAAGATGAACAGTAATAATGTGAAATGTGTACTTTCTTGAATCCAACAATAGTGTCAAGGGTGTAGAGGGAAGTTTGTGAAATATTAATAATTAAGTAGATAAACACTGGGATAAAGATATTGGGGCTGGAGATTAAGTTAAGATTGTTTTAGAAGTTTTGTCCTTTTTACATCAGCCCATCAAGGTTACAAAAAAATTATATTGTCCACTACAAGGGATAACATTTGTCTGATTCATTTTCTACCACCTTCTTTCATTCAGTCCAGAAACACTTATTAAACCCCCGTAGGGTGCCAGACTGAGACTCTTAAGATGGATAAGATATGGTCCTTGCCTGGAGGAGCTCACAACTGAGGACAGAGGAAGACATCTACCGGGAACGGTGATACAGCGAGATAGGGCAAACAGACGTTCAAAGGACACTTGGAGGAAGAAATGAACTGGTCAGGAGACAATCAAATGCTTCATACAGAAATCATCCAGGCAGAGAAGGGAGAAAGGGAATCGAGGAAGCACATGTGAAAGGACACAGGGGCGTGAACAAACATTGCTTTGATGGCCTCTCTCCTATCTGGCACCAGTGAGGCCCAGGGTGGGGTTTCTATTGGGGTGTGTCAGGCCCACAAGTCAAGTCAGTAACAGATGTCATATTCTGGGTTGGGGCAGAAGGTGGCAAAAGTCTAAGCCTGAGCAGACGGTGATTCAATCCGGGTTGCCAAATTCAAAACCCTAAAAGGAAAACAGGAGCAAGATTTAACAATTAAGAGCCTGGGCTCTGGAGCCAGACTGGGTTCAAATCCTGGCTCTAATACTTAATCGCAACTTAACCTCTTGTGTGCCTCAGTTTCCTGATCTTTAAAGTGGGGTGGGTTTTGTGAAGATTAAACAAGGTGACATACAAGAAACAGGAGGGACAATCCCTGGCACCTAGCAAGTACTCAGTATTTGCCTCCTATTATTATTTCCTGTGTGGAACCAAAACATTATGGAGAAACCGGGGGAATTGATGAGCGAGCAGTGTCAAAAGGAGCAGAAGGGAGAGAGGTGAGTCATGCAAGCCTGGAGGAACTGCAGAGCTTGGGTGCAAAAGACCCCGGAAGGTCATTATGTCGTTTCAAGCTGACTAGCTTCCATATACAGCTTTGTGAAGTCACATTCCCTTTTAAATTTGCTAGGGCTCTCACTAGTTGTACACCTGAAGCTAATATGTCAATTATACCTCAATGAAGTACATAAATAAACTGTCTATGTATTGATTACTTCTTGTGGTAGCCTCCAACATGGCCCCAATAATCCTCTGCCCCTGAGCACTGTCCCCTCCCACAATGAATAAAGTAGACCTAGTGAAGAAGTGACAGTGTGTGACTTCCAAAGTTAGGTCACAAAAGCATTTCCATCTTGCTTGGTTTCTTGGATTGCTCAATCTGGGGGAAGTTAGCTGATTATAAGATTATACTATGAGGGGAAAAAAAATCTACCTGAAATTTTATAAAATTTCCCACTGAAGCACCCATAGCTAGCATCTCATGGAGCCAGCAACTCCAAAAATCATAGTCCTGTTCTCATAGTATTTTAGTCACAATATCCGATAGTCTTCAGTCAGCAAAAGGAGCATTAGATTTCTTATTATTTAAGTTCATTTTACCCTACTCTTACCGCGAAGAAAGGCACTTGGCACAGAATCCTTATCACAAAATTTCAGCCCTCACCCACTAGACCAGAAGCCCTAATTCAACACAAACATGAAAGGTCCTTTTGGACTCAGCAGTTAATGAGTTACAGAAGTGAGAGGTCTGTCTTTAAAGAGAATAACTCATAAGAAAAAAGCTCAAGCACCAGATCAGACAAAAGACAAGCATATTATTTATGATTATTTTAAAATCTAAAATTTTACTAATTTAAATTTTTACTTTTACATACATTTGTTGTGTGTACAGGCAAGAGGAAGGTCTGGAAAGCACTGTGTATACTACACTATACTATGTATAGTAGTTATCTCGGGGATTAGCAAAGGTTTTGAAGAATATTTTATTTTTTCTTTGGTACATTTTTTTAAATGCTTAACCAACCGCAGGTATAACTCTACTAATGGTGGGGGGGGGGTGAATTTAGTTATCCGGAACAAATGGGTTTGCAAGTAGATCACAGTAGGAAGGGAACCATCTAGAAAACAACCACGGATTGCCAAAGCAGTCACTTCTTTGGGCTTTGTAAGAGTGCCACCTACTGGAATCTCAGAAAATGAATTTTTAAAAAATTAATCCTGCTCTTCAAACCACTTGAGATGTTTGATACTAGAAAGGTTTTTTTGGTTTTGGGGTGGAGTTTTTTTGTTTGTTTTAAGAAAGAGAGAAAGAAAAGAGACAAAAAGAGAGGAAACTTGTTTAAAAGCATCAACTTAATAAATTAAAGCTTTCTTATTTAAATAATAAGTGGTATCAGTTTCCAGAAAGTCTTCCAGTAAGGAGGCAAGTTCTATAAGGCATACAATAAAAAAGAAAGCTAGTAGTTATTTAGAGTTTAGAGAACCAGACAGCCAATATGAAATACCCAGGCTCTTAAAAATATACTCAAACACCAAATGAAAAACATATTCATATACCTAAGTAATTTAGTGGTTTTTTTAATGGGGTAGTAAATGTCTCTTAAATGTTGGTATTGGATCTAAGATTTAAATGTCACTTTTCAGTATTAGTATCATAAACTCAAAGTTAAACCAAAAAACATTAGTGTCCTAATTAAATGTGTCCTCGTTATCACTACAGCTTTTTAATAAAAGCTATGGCTGCAACATCCAGCGATATACTTACTAAAGGATTTTTACGACCAGAATTCACAGTTGAAAAACAATTACCTGGTGAATAGTTCAATTATCATACATCCATACAACAGACGACAACCTAACAATAAATAAAGGTGGAACTACTGACACAAAAACACCATAAATGATGATTGGGACATTGTGCTGTACACCAGAGACTGACACATTGTAACTGACTGTACTTCAATATAAATAAATAAATAAATAGGTAGGTAGGGAGGTAGATAGATAGATAGATAGATAGATAGATAGATAGATAGATAGATAAAGAATAATCAAATGTTAAAAAAAAACCCCACCATGGATGAATTTCAAGATCATTGGATGAATTTCAAGATCATTATGCTAAACAAAAGAAACCGGACACAGCAGAATACATACTGTATGATTCCATTTATATGAAAGTCTAAACAAAATGTAATCTATCGTAACAGAAAACAGATCAGTGTTGCTGGTGCTGAAATGGGTAGTGAGGTGGCAATGAACTAGTCATAAGAGAATATCTAAGACTGAAGAAAATGTTCTATATTTTGATTATGCTGACTGTCAAAACTCTTCAAACTGTACACTTAAAATGGGTACATTTGATTGTATAGAAATCATATCTCAATAAAGCTGGTTGTTCAATAATAATAGTAAGTTGACAGTCTGTCTTCATGCCGATGCTGTGTGAAAGCATGAAGAGACTGTGTTAGCATAATCAATGATGTGCTAGCTCAGGTTTGCACCTCCTCTTAAATACTGATTGATAAACGTTCAGGAATTTTTCAAGCTGGCTATTAAGCCACTGTTAACTTGAAACTGGCCATGATGGAAATAACTCCACTACTGACTGTGAAGAGCTGGTTTCTACCACTGAGCACAGTAGTTAAGGACAGATGCAGAGGCTGACAGCCTGGGTTTGGGCTCCAGCTCTGCCACATTCCAGTGGTTTTATTTACTCCTCCGTTCTTCAGTTCTTTGATCTGTAAAAATCAAGATAACAGTACCCACCTGACACAACTGTTACAAGGACTCAGTGAGTCAGTACACATATAGCACATAATAAGTGCTAAATGCTATTATTACAAGAAGAAAGTCACTCTACAACTAAAGAAATTAATGAATTTGCAGATTTCCTCCCAGACCCCTAGACATTTATTCTTTTCCTTCCTAGTCACGGAAACTCCCAAATAATTCTGATTTCAAAAAAGAAATGTGCAATTTTCTTTTTCACCTGAAATATTTCTCCATAGCTGATTCCAAAGAGGTCAGATTTTCTCACGTGACATATTGGGATAATAATATTTATCCCCCCCCATCACAAGCTGTTGTGAGCATCAAAAAGGCCAATTTCTGAGAAAGAGTTTTGTGAGCTGCAAAGCACTTTACAAGTGTAAGATGCCAGTGTTTTTTGTTTGTTGGTTGGTTTGTTTTGTTTTGTTTTGTTTTGTTTTTTAATGCCACTGCTAAGACTGAAGGGGAGGATTCTACAAATAAATGTAAGGTACGGAAAACAGGTTGAGGAAAACCTTAGGGCTCGTAGGGACTATCACTCACAATTTTAGGGTGGTTTTTTTTTTTCCTTTAACAAGCGTGGTATAACTTTTACCAAAACCCTGAGTAAATGCAATACTTTACACACATGCAATAGACTGCAAAATTCAGAGTAAATATTTAAACTTAAAATAAAAAATTTTAATGGAGGTGCTGGGGATTGAACCCAGGACCTCGTGCAAGCACTCCACCACTGAGCTATACCCACCTCCTTTTAAACTTTATAGAATGCAAATACACAGTCATCAGTCCTTTTAGAAACAATGTCTGCACTCGGGTCTTCCTTCAAATTAAATTAACTATGGATTTTTAGCTGCTAAAAGATGGCAGTGTTAATGTTTCACTATGCATATAATTGTAAAGAAATGCAATTTTTTTTCAAAACCATGGAAACAGAACTTAGAAGCAGACTCAAATAAACCACACTAATGAAACAGTCCACAGAGAGGTAGTGGGGTCTAATAGATAGAAACTAGATGGTACTTCATTCAGTGAGTCATTATCTTACTCAGACCAAGTTACTCAACTTGAGATGGTTCACCTTCCCAAAAAAACAGTAATAACATCACGTTTAATCACATTAGCCTAGCATTTTGGAATTCTCGTGAAAATCACCATAAACACAGGGTATTATGAACTTAGCTGGTCAAAATGTATTCATTGTAGTTATCAGCTTGAAACCACCTCCTAAAATTACATACACACAAAATTTCTGCTAAGGAAAGTGTCCACTCTGAAATATTTCACATCTTTTAAAATAGCATGGAATTTTTTTCATCACTTAAGGCTGCTATTTCACATTTCAAATGAACAGAGCTGCCAATATAACTTTTTTACACTGAAGTGTAATTTTTAGTTTTTTTAAACAACATTCAGTTGCTGTATTTATGAATACATGTGGGGCATCACATATTCATTTACTTGTATATTCATTCATTCACCAAATATTTATTTAGCACCAATTATAGGTAAGTCTACATAGTCTAGAGAAAATAACCTCAGTTTTTATGAACTGAAAGTAAATGCATGCTAGTTTCATATACTATTTTTCTTTGTTGCTTTTTTTAACATTTTTTATTGTTATAATCATTTTACAATGTTGTGTCAAATTCCAGTGTAGAGCACAATTTTTCAGTTATACATGAACATACACATATTCACTGTCACATTGTTTTTCGCTGTGAGCTACCACAAGATCTTGTACATATTTCCCTGTG